ATCGGGTTTCGATACCCATCCCTAGATAAAAAAAGGTTGAAGTCAAAACAGAAGAGTCATACAATCTACACAACTATGGAAGTAGATGTGTCTCACTTTTATTTGTGTGAATAAAAGTGAGTAAATGTGTAATGTGTAAATGTAAAATACCTTCCACAAATACAAATAAAATTTGTGAATACTATAATGCATTTACAACTTTCCATCGATAGACACACCGGTGGAAGGTTTGTCTCATATCTCCGTAGATATGAGACAAACCTTCCACCGGTACGAACATACATCTACTACTATCTAGTAGTAGTAGTATCTACTTTGTTCGGGTGATGACGTGGTTTGCAAAATGTTTTGCATTCGTGGAAGGGCTTTCACATAATAGATAAGACACAGATTATGTATCTGTTCACATAAATAATATTGAGACAAATCTACCTCCATACACAACATATGAACACAACCAAGATTTAAAAAGGATTATTAATGGCAGTACAATAGGTGAAATAAAAACAATGATGGCTTCTCATCAGCTCTGCCTCTGTGTGTAGGTCCAGTACCTGGTCGCAGGGTGTGGGATCACGTCATAGGCTGAGCTGGAGGACAGCTTCCTGCTGCCGGGGCAACCGTCTGAGCAGCACACCTGGTTCAGCACTCGAGCAGAAGCTGGGTTCACTGGTTTGAAATTAAACCATTTGATGCATTATTGTTATTTTTGAGTTGAACAAAATAACAAAATATACTATAATAATTCAACTGCCTGTCATAGATTTTTCTACACTGTTTTTAATGTGGATACTAATTAGGGAATGTTTGGGTTATCTTGCAAATAAATGACAAGGACTACTGACTTGACTTATGGTACAATATGTCTACATCAATATTATATAGTATTTTATGAATTAAACCAAAAAGTTTCCAACTTCTTATTTTATTTTAAAATGTTCTCAATTAAAATTGCAAACATTTTTAACTACACCACCACGTAATATCATCACCATCGTAGTGGTTTAAACAAGTTGGCCTTGTTAATAATAATTATATCAATAATAATTATTATTATATTGGTTATTCAATATTTCAATGTTGTTCCTGTATTTTTGGAAGCTTGTATTGCATTACTGTTCATACAGTTGTATGTGTATTTAATAACTAGCTAGGTAAAACATACAACCTTTGATGTGGCTCCACTTTTAGAATCAGACTGAGCACGTACAAGGCAACAGAAACTAAATCCATTTTGGTTTCTTCGTTGACAAACAGGTTCAAACATTGGGAAATGCTCTCACTCACCTGCAATGAGCTGCTGTTTCAATAATGGTAAAAGCTGGTCATGGAGGCGGATCCTGCGCAGGGCATCAGCCAATGAGGACTTCAGCAGCGTGATCTCATCCTCCTGCGCCTGCAGACGCACCTCCATCATGGAAGCTCGGTCTGGGAACTCAGCGCTGCCGTCTGCTGACGCATCGTCTGCGACGAGACAAGAGGGGTATCATGAAGGATGATTATGAAACGCCTGGCTCAAATGTGCCAAAGAAAATCAGCAGTATTTCATCAGAAGCATTTAAGCCTTGCTACAATATTACAAATGTTTGTTCTTGATTTGAAAACATAGATCTGTGACAAGAATTCACAATAAATGAAAAAGCTGATAAACAATAAACACAAAACTGTGTGTCACAGCCATAGAGCAACTCACTATAAAAAACCAGAGACAAACACAAGTATAGTTCAGATTGAATGCTCTGCTCATTTTCATTTAGCGTTGTGTTTCTAATTATATTAGGCTTAAATCATTCAAGTTAATTCAATGTTAAGTGTCTTAGGGCTGTATAAAACACAACATGGCAAACAACATTGAATATCATTCTTAGTTTTCTCTTAAGATGGATGAAAGTGTGACGTCAATTCAATTTAGCTGACTCTTGAGGACATCAAAAACCTTTCTAATATGTGCTAACCTTTGCAAACTGAATATTTGTTCCATTACTCTCTGCCTTTTATTTGACGTTTAAGAAGTTGTGCCAACCAAACTGATGGAAACACAATTACAATGTATTTTCCTATATATTCGAAAGGACTGTGTCAAATTCACCTGACATCTGGATGGAAAAAGAAAAGCAAGCAGGACCTGACTACATTCAAACAAGTCTTTCAAGTGTCATTCCTGTGTGTGTGTTTGCTTGTATTTCAACCTTTCGGAGAACCAATTTAAAAATGTATATATTTAAGTGTCGTCATCGCTTAATTCTGAGGACATTTCTGCATTTTAAGGACATTTTAGCAGGTCTTCAGTACTACAATGGACTGTTCGAAGGTTAGATTTGGTTTTGGAGGTAAGGTTACAGTTATACTTAGGTATAGGTTAGGGTTAGGATTAGACATGTGGTTGCCATGGTGAGGATGAGAAAAGGCATTTTGTCAGAACATTCTCAAAAGTATAAGACGACAAACTTGTGTGTTTTCTTGCTGCCCATGGAAAGTGAATTACAGCTGCTTAGAGCATTATGTACACCAGAGGAGTGACTGACCAGAGCATCTCAAAGACCCTTTTGTGTTTGTGTCTACAATTCTGGTGTGTGTGTGTGTGTGTGTGTGTGTGTGTGTGTGTGTGCGTGCGTGCGTGCGTGTGTGCGTGCGTGCATGCGTGCGTGCGTGTGTTTGAGGGCTTGTTCTGGTCCAAAAAGTGTCTGTATGGCTGAGTTTGTGGAATGCCTCCTTCTGTTCTTGTGTCACAGGATGGAAGAAAGCTGTGCATAGCGACCGCGAGAATATTATTATCCCATTGAAATCCACTGTGTTGTGAGTTCTCATGATTACTCATGCAATCAAAATGGCTTTGGCATTTTAAGGTTTATTTTGCAATGCAGTCCAACAAAGCACAAACTGTAATTGACCGAGGAATTCTAAGGAAAGGTTTTCTCACTGGGTAATAAGTAGGTAAGAGGTCCAATCTTTACAATTCTGTCGACTTAATTTGAGCAAAGACTACCAGCTGGGAACCTGGAATTACACGTAGCCTGTAATTGTAGTCTAAAGCTCCATTTCCTCATGGGTTTAAAATCTCTATCAACAATATGCAATTTCATTTGCTCAAGACTTCCTTTATTTATCCAAGCTACAGAGAGAACAAGGCTTTTGCTTTTCACCCTGGTTTATAAATAGATTTATCAGAATTTGGTCAGAAGCCTCTCTTTTGGATCCCCCGCTCTTTTCTTTCTAATTGATGTTAATGCAACCTGAACACTTCCTCTATGTTAACCTGCTGTGTTGACAGAATGCATGAGTTATATCATATTGTCTGAGTTTCTCTTTTAAAAAGAAATCAAATTCACAATGTTTTCCTCTTGTCTGCGCAGAGGCTTCCAGGCTCAAAGGGGAAGTCCCTACATTCCCAATAGGCTTCTAATGTGAAACATCTGCTAATGTTTCCTTCTGATTGACTGTAGTGTAGTGATAAAACTGCTCAAATGTAACATGCTAAAACAGACTTAATCAGCTAATCAGCTAAATCTATCTTGATAACATTAGCTTAACTTTGCCACTAACGAATAGCCAATGCTAAGGTTAGAAGCAAAAAGTATATTGAATTCTAACGTATGAGTTCATCTTGTATAAGAAAACTGTGTCTTGTCTTCTTTCAAATGTAACATAGTATAGGTGAAAGGAATAATAGTTTCACGTACAAATCCAAATTCTTATTTGAAGCTACATTTTGTATGGTGTTGTTAACATCCAATATGTTGGCTATTAATAAAAACAATAACAAAAGATGGCAAATTGTAGTTTTCAACTGGATTACTCTGTTGTTTAGCAATATTTTTAACGGTAAGTTATTCAACGTTTTTTTCATGGTCGTTTTTTAACATATAGTTCAAAACAACCATTATCTGAGTTGCAGGGAATTGTGAAAACTGGATAAAGTCAATTTATGTCCACTCCTGGCAAACAAGCACAACACTTGCGCGTGGGCAAAGTTGGCAGATGTCATTACAAGAGACCTAATGAAACTTTTATTAGAATTACAGATTTCTCTAGGTTTTAAAAAAGATACAAATATTTGGCATAGTGCAAGTACATAACTGAACGTATTGTTTTTAAAACATATTAGGTCGAAAATTGTACATATTAGTTGTTTAACTGCAGGTTGATGGAACAACATTGGTAGTGAGAGAGATATCTTTGTCGTTCATCTTAAATGAAGGCAAGAGTTTGGGCACAATTTGGGTTTATTAACATAAATTCACTTTGCAAGTCTAAAGTGAAATATGTTCTTATAACTTCATCAGACTCAAGGTCAGGTTTCAAACACAGAGCACTGGGGTGAACCCGAAAACTAGTGCCACCTTTTTATTTATTCAAACAACAATCAGTTTAGAATCAAGAATCCAAACTAAATCATGTCACCATAATTGCAATTGCAATCAAAATGACAGATGTCTTAAAAATCTTGAAATGACTTAGGGTGCGTCTCACTTCTCTTATTTTTCCTTTCCTCGCTCCTCGCTCTCGGTCTCACCGGAAGTTGATTTGTCTGCGCCATCTTGAGTAGCGTCCCAGTGGCCTTATTTGTGCCGGAGGATCGAGGATCGAGGATCGAGGATCGAGGAGCGAGGAGTGATAATGGTGGAGCGATAATCGAGGAACTACCAGAAAATCCTCCGGTGAAATCCTCAGACACTCGCCCCGCCCCCTCACTGTGTATCGCTCACTGATTGGACGATGCACTGATCTAGCTGCTGTCAGACATCAGCTGTGCGGCGTCATCACAAACGGACGTCGCTTCACGTGACGCTCCAGAGGAAAGGACGTCCCATTGCTCTTAAAACCCATTTCCCTGCTTCTCGTGGTTTCCTTGCGTCTCTCCATGCTCCCCTGGTGGGAAGGGACTAGTCGCAGGGAAACAACGCAAGGACTCCATTTAACCGAAGTTAAGACCAAACACATGTATTCAGTTCTTTTTTAGAGTTCAGACTGTTATAAACACACTCAAACTGTTAAACACAGAATCCTGCGGCCTGACATCATTACTACACAGTCATGGCGGGAAATTCTAAACAAGGTTTATTCTGGTAACACAGAATAATGTTTCACTTCAGAGCACTTGAAGGTTTTATGAGATGGTCTAACCAGAAATGAGCTGACAAAAAATATAAGCATTTGGTGTGACTGCAACTGGACTTCATTGGAAATCAAAAACCAGACACTGCCACAGAGAAACTGGGGAAGGAGATGACCACAACACCAATACATGAGCTTATGAAACCGTATCATTACATTGTGCAGTCTGAGATGCATTGTCACCACAAGTGAAAGGTTTTCAAAACAGGACAGACGGGTGTAAACCAGATTTGTCTTTCTCAGCTCTTGTAAGCTGATATCAAATGTTCAGATTTCCTAATGCTCTTATCATGATCACAGAAAAACAAGATCTGTGTGTAAGGTGCATTCATTCAATCTCTGTTGCTCACTGGAAGATATTATCAGCCTGTTTTTGACAAGAAGTACCGGATCTCCTTTTTTATTTTCACTGTGTCTCAACTTGTCTCTTCCATTGTCTCTCCATAGGATGTCAGCTAAAACTTCTGAGGAAAAAAGCTTGATGCTTTAAATGAACTCAACTGAACTTAGGTTGAATTCATTTGGTTTAAAAGGTTGCATTTAAAGAGGCCCTATTCTGCTCATTTTCAGGTTCATATCAGTATGTAGTGTCTCTACTTTAAAGAGTCCTCTCCTGCTGATGTTCAGGTGTATATCAGTATGTAGTGTCTCTACATGTCTCCATGCTTTAATGTTCTAAAGCTCTTTATTTTTCTCATACTGCCTGTGCTGCAGCACCTCTTTTCACCCTCTGTCAGAAACCAGAGCCCAGTCTGCTCTGATTGGTTAGCTGGCCGGCTCTGTTGTGATTGGTCAAAAACTAAGAGATGCGTTGGATAAGTCCTGCCCCTTATCACGAACAATGTTTTGGAAGACTAGCCAATGGAAGTGCACGTGTTAAATAGTGATGTCACTATGTTAATTTAATTATTTGTTTATTCCACTCATGGCAATTAGTATATAACAAAACATGGACACTTAACACAATGTATGCAGCCCATGATGGAAAGGAGCAGGGAGAAGAACATCCTATTTTCCCTTCCCCTGAGTCAAAACATAAAATACAAATCTATGGTCTGTCAGTCAAAGCTGCTTACAGCAACATGAAACCAAAACACAATCAGAGTCAACACAACTATCTACCTTCAGCAACACCGGTACCTGACATCTTAATACTGTCTCATTTGTATTTCTTTATACCTTTTATTATTATTATTATTATTATAGTTTTTTAATAGCTTTTTATAATTGTACTATTTTATATTTTTGGTAACGTCTTCTTATGTGTCTCTGTATGCACCACTTATACCAATGCAAATTCCTCGTATGTGTAAACCTAATCGGTCAAAAAGCCATTGATTTGATGGCTGTCACCACTGTGAGATGTCAGTGCCTCTGCCAACTGAGCGTCATAAAAGCAGCCAGAGGCCCTGTTGATGTTTTGGCAAATCTGGATTATGATTCACTTTTAAAGACATTGTCTTTTGGACAATCCATTTCACTGGAACAAGCATTTCGTCATCAGCGCCGTTGCAAAACGCCTGGAGCTGATCCAGCTCGGCTGCAGAGGAAATGTTTCTTTAACAGTTGATTACTGGTAAACGCTTCTCACTGTTTAGTCTGATTAGTAGAATAAGTACAGAGTTAAACACGGCAGATTCCTATCAGCTGGATGTGCAGTATGAAAGCTGTTATCACGAGTCAAACAGGATGTATCTACTGCTCTATACACACTGCTGAGTGTCACAATTCTCAATTTCATTTGATCACAAGAGCCCTTATTAATCAAACGGTGATATTACAACCCTTAGTATGAAGAATAAGTCACATTTACCAAGAAGCAACTTAATCCTACTTATAGCAAACCATAGAAATAATATTTGAATGAGTAAACATATTATGTACAATCGGAGCAAGAAATTCATCCAGAATTCATCCAATTAATTCTTGAAAATACATTCTCTCAGTGATATGTGCAAAATATCACATTTTGAACTTTGGGATTTTAACCTTTTCAGACCATTACATGCACACAAACTTATAGAACACACTACAGGAGAGGGGACAACTCCAAGAAGCAAATGCAGTCAATGTAAGACGTATCCCTGTTATGTATTACCCTCTTACCCTAACACTTATGGATGTCTCAACAACATTTCAATTTCCAACAATTGTGATATTCTATTAAACCTCATTTATCTGCTCTCAGTACACATTTCCCTCAGTGTTTCACTTCACCCCTGATCCATCAGCGTAAAGCCTGCATGGAAACCTCCGGCCAGCAGCCAGAGCGGGAGAAACGGAGTGTTTGATTAAGTGACAATTGAAGCTATTTGGAAATGTCAAGACCACACACTATCACTGCACAAAAACATACCAAAATGTCTGGCCAACAGCCCGTCCTTTAATAGGGTCAGCATCAGGGCTCATACCGATCCAACTGATTTCGCCACATGCCTTTTGTTTACAAGCAAACACATGGAGCTGTGGTGTCAGAGAACAGTAAATATAACACTGTGGGTACAGTAGGGTTTAGGCTAAGGGTGAGGGTGAAGACTGGGTATGGGCCGGTCTAGACTTTCAGTGACAAATTCACTGAAGGGTTGGATGGATTTTAGAGCCACTAAACCTGTGCAAATAAGACCAAAATAAACGGTTTAATACTAAAAATAACCACACAGAGGGGACTCATTATGACCCATATTAGCATCTTCACAAAGGTTGATGGTGTAACTGAAGCGTATCGTAAAATGCCCAGACTTCCCAGGGATCATAGCAGCAGTGATTGTGACCTGTCATGCCCAGCTATCTTGACTTCTTTCATTTTGGACCTAGTGGACTACACTTTTTTTCATGCTGAATTACTCTTTATTCAAATAAAGTGATGTTTTTGCATAATTATTTGCGGAGGACCTTCATTTTACAAATCTCTCGACAAAAACGTATGGTTGTCAGTTAGGGTTGGGTACCGAGAACCGGTTCCGGTTCGGGACCGGTTCCAACATTTCGATTCCAACGGCATCATTTAGAAATGTGAATTTCGGTTCCACTTTTCGATGCCTGAGGAAATGTTTCTCGCCGCTCTCCGTAGCCTACTGTACTGTATGACTGCGGCGGGGCGGGAAATGTAGCGTTGTACTTACACTTCCTACAGCGTAACCTGAGACCAGGGCCGGCCCGTCGCACTGGCGTTATAGATGTTTGCCTAGGGCGCCAGATCTGTGGATGCGCTGCGCTGACAGCTCTGGGAGGGAAAACATTTGTTTGGCATCTGGTGCTAGCTGCTCTAACGGAAGAAGAATATGTTTCTACAATAATGTGGAGGGAGAGTCCTCTCCAGTCAGACTGAGAGGCTGATAACTACAGTTCAGTGAGGTAAAGGACTCTTGAGTGTTAACTTTAGTCTAAATTATCTCAGTGGGTCTCAAACGTTTTGATCACAATTTATGTAAACACATATTTCAAAGGCACTCCTTTATAATTATTGGGATAAAACAGGTTTGAAATCATTCCAATGTATACAATAGGACAGTAAACCAAAAATATCGTTTAAAACTGGAGAGATTTAAAAAATATGCATAAATAAATAAATGTTAAGGTAAAATAAGATATAAATGAACCACAAAAATAAAACAAGTTACATTTATTTGTTATTGGCTATAGTAGGTTATTGGAAATGTTCACATACTTATTTGATTAATAAAATGCAAACCGATCTTTTTCATATGGGTGTTTAGAGGTGTACCCCTTAGATCAGTCTCTAATTGGGCGCTCAAAGTGCACCAGATTGAAGCATTTTACTTTAAAATGTTAAAAACAAATCTTCCCGAGGGGGCACCCCCGGACTTTCCCCCATGTCAATATGTTTCTCTTTTTGTAATGGGGCGGCGGGGGGGGGTTCCTTTAAAAGTTGTACTGTTGCACTGTTGTAGCTTCAGTGGTTCTCAGGTTACAGTTACATAGCAGTGAATATAAACAGACTGATTAATGTGAATATTACTGTAAACTAACCTGTGTAAAAGTTTCTCGAATAAATGTCATTTTTTGGGTGGAAGAAGCATGTATCATTTTTTTACCCTGCCCCTCAAAGAATCTGAATTGAGAACCGTTAAGAACCGGAATCGAAAAGTAGAATCGGAATCGGAATCAGAATCGTGGAAATTCAAACGATACCCAACCCTAGTGTCAGTTGATGCCATGAGAGTTGTGCCATAAAAATGAATAAAGCTGCAGGTATGTTTTCTAAGGGAGAAAAGATTTAGGAAAATCAAATCAAAAAGAGGTTCTTATATGAACACATTTGAATTCACTATCCTTCTGCTGTAAAGAGGCAAATTACACCCATTAAATGCAAAACAACACAGAAGAGTTAGCACTGTAACTTCATTATCACAATATATTTTCTGATTACAACATGAAATGGGGGCGTAAGCTTTTGCAAATGATGCATCATGTATGGTGCCATCATTGAATGCCATACGTCTTTTGTGAATTAGCCCCTTAGTCTTGCTGTCACTTACTTGTCACTTGTTGTCACTACAAAGTGAAAATAGTGAACTTTCACATCATAAATTCAGCAGAATGTCTATTCTTCAGCATCATTTCATCCGTACCCACCAATTTGGGGTAGCCACTTCCTGTTTTCATTATCCAATAAATGTTATTTATTTTTTCTATAACTGTCAATAGCACACTAACTGCAATATGATATTGCTTTGTAAAATGTTAATCATGGAATCACTAATTGTACTGACAGGAATGCAATTTGGTAAGCTTTAATGAGACACAGTGAAACTTGATAACAACACAGGATGTTGTGGAGGACCGTGGTTGTACACACTGGGCCTTCCTTCCTGTGCAGACGTTAGCAGAAAGTGGCTGGAGCTTTAATAGCCATCCATCTCTA